TTTTTATAAAAAATCATAAATTCTAATAAGAGTATGTTTTTATTTAAAAATTATTTATATTTTATTATAATTAATATATATGTTTATTAATTAATTAATAAATGTATATATTTACTATTAAAATATCAAACATTTAAATAAGAAAACTAAATTTAAATTAACATATTCCATTTAAATATTTTATCCTTATTTGATTTGACTATTTTCATTTGAAAAATTTTCAGTCAATAAATTGGGTTGTTCTTGCTTCAAATTTGAATGAACTTAAAATAAATTTATAAAGTAAATTATACATTTAAATATACATTATACCAAGATCATGTCAAATCTTTATATATATAAATATATATATATATATATGTTTCTTAAACTAAAAGTAAGAAAAAATAGATAATAACTTCAAAAATTAATTAGAGTAATATTTTTATATAATGACAAAAAATTAATTATAATGTATTAAACTATTACGAAAAATTACGTAATTTAATTAATCGAATAAAATTATAATTTATTTGTTATTATTTTTAACATTTTATTAAAATATATTGATTAATATGTAAATGTTTATTATACTAAGATCATATCATATATATAAAATTATCTATATTTTTTAAATTAAAATTAAGAAAAATATAATATAGTAATATTTTTATATATAATAGCGAAAAAATAAATCATAATATATTAAATTATAACTTATTTTTTATTGTTTAAAAGAATTATTAAAATATAATAATTAATTTAAGTAGATTCCCATGTATTTTAGGTTCTTGAAACTCCAACGTGAAACCCACGAATTTCTTGAGCATTTTACAACCTCTTTGGAAGATCAAATGCATGAGGGGAAAAGTTTCAATGTAGTTGACTCTATAAACCCGGGAGAAATTTTCTATTGAATCTTTTTATTCAATTGTGTCTGGTGATTCAAGATTCAAATATCTAGAAATTGTCTTACTTTGAATGATATATATATATATATATATATACATATATGTGTGTATATATCTATCTTGTTCATAGGGTCTGTTTGACTGTTTCTACATTACTTTCAACAAATTATATTTTCTTTCAGTTACCCACTCCTTGTTTCTCACGTGTTTATGTGGAATATATATGTTAAACACCGACCAAGCCAAGCACAAACTTGAATTCCTTGGTTCCTTTCATTTTAATTTGACAAACTTTTTGTAATATATATATATATATATAGATCAAAAGTACACAATCGAAGCTTGAAGGTTAAAGAATTCATGGCAGATACACTGACGGAAGATCAAGTTGAAGAGTTTCGGGAAGCCTTCTTTTTGATTGACAAGGACTCCGATGGTCTGTCGTTATAATCTGTTTCTTTCTTTCCATCTCTCTCTGTTTTTTTTTTTTAATTCAATGTTTAAGTTTATTAACCGTTGAATATTTAAATTTGACGATTAAGTATTCATGTTCGTGTATTTATAAAGGAATCATTACAATGGAAGAGCTAGCAAGAGTGATCCAATCGTTTGATGGAAATTCTGGAAAAGAAGAAGTTGAAGAGATGAATAGCGAGGTTGTTGATGGTGATGAAAATTGCAGCATAAGTTTTGAAGAGTTCTTGAACATCATGGCGATGAAAAAGAAGGTAATTAACCAGACAATCAATTTTTTTTTTCTTGTTTATTAAACTAAAAATCAGACTGTGCATCTCCATGTGTATATATCAGGTGATTAAAAAATATATATATATATATGTTTCAGTGAAAGAAATTTGAAATTGACTGATTAACTTTGCAGGAAAATGTCGATGAGGAGCTAAAAGAAGCCTTCAAAGTGTTTGACAGAGATCAAGATGGCTTCATATCATCAAATGAGGTGATTATCACTATTATATTTTCTACCAGTTCAAGAAAAAATAATTTAATGTTATTAAGCTCCAATAATATTTCGGTAATGCAGTTGAGACAAGTAATGATGAATATGGGAGAGAGACTAACAACTGCAGAGGCTGAGCAGATGATCAGAGAAGCAGATTTAGATGGTGACGGACTTGTTAGCTATGACGAGTTTGCAAAGATGATGATGATGTCTCTTTGAATTTCCATTCCAGATTTACTCATTCTCCTTCTGCAACTCTGTTGAATAATCTTAATCTTATATACTAACATATACATATGTATGTATATATATACACCTACATGAACTAAAACAACGAACTACTTCGATATTGTATTAGTATTCGTGCAAGGATGTTGATGATGTCTTTCTGAATTTCCATTTCAGATTTCTTCATTCTCCTTCTTCAACTCTGTTGAATAATCTTAATCTTGTATATGAAAAAAAAAATATATATATATATACATATATGCAGACACCTATATGAACTAAAAAAAATTGAACTACTTTGATATTGTCTTTGTATTCGTCCAATTAATTTCTTTTCTGAGTGAATTATAAATTAGCGGAAATTACAAAATAATATAATTTAAATTAAGAATAAATTTATTCTAAAATATTTGAGTTTTCTTCCAAATCTCAACTGTTGTCTTTTATATAAATCGAGTTGAGTTCAGTCCAGTAGTCACTAGTAAGAGAAAAATTACAGAACCGTCTTTTCGGAGGAGCAAAAAATGGAGGCCTCTGCTCCCGAGAATCTCGACGAGTACTCTTCATCTTCCACAACCATCATCTTCGACAACCCGATTCCCCTACTCCGGGGCCCCATACCCGCCGGCAAACCCGATAACCCGGCATTAGGCCCCTACGTCCTAGCCTTTAAGTCTATCGCCGCCTGGTCCGCCGCACGCAAGCGCTGCGAGTCTCGGATCATTGAGCAGTGTGAGAATGGGGCCAGGATCGGGTGCGCCATCAGCGCGTCGAGTAAGTGTAAGCCTCCATGGTGGCGTCTGAATTCTGTTGATTTGAAGGAACGAGAGATTTGCGAGCAGAGAGAGATGGAGGCTTGTTTGGTTGCAGGAAAGGAGAAGTGCGTTGAATTTGCGAAAGAGAAGTGTTTCAGGCCGTTCATGGACGCTAGGGTTGCAGTGAGGAGGATGGGAGCGAGAAGAAAGGAGGTTGAGAGGTTGGTTTGTTTGGCGTCGATGCCGGAGAGTAGTACGTGGAGGGATTTGATTTGTCTGGATCAGTTGAGTTCGCGGTTTCTTGGTGAATTTGAAATTGGAGTGATGAATTTCAGGGCAAGCGAGCTGCTGGGTTCAGATACTAACTATGAATCGGAATTGTGAGCTGAAGAAGAGGTACACAGAGATAGATGAGGAGAACCAATCGGTTTTCAGCTGAAGATGGAAGATGAGGAGGTAAATTTTGGTTAAATTTTACTGATTATTTTTGAAAATTGGAGTAGAAGCTAAGCATGTTAATTAAACTATGAATTTTGTTGTTAGATAGCCATGGTGAAGTGTGTATATATATACTGAATTGGATGAATATAAACTCGCCATTGCTTAGGAATTGGGATCCCCAAGGATCTATTTTCCTTGGAATTTTCTACTCTGCTGATGAACATATGATACCCAACTTAATGGGTGAATTTCAACTTTCTCCACTTAAACATGACATACTCAGTTATCTTCTTTTGTAAGAGTATATGCTAGATAAGTTTTACTTGAAACTTTGCATATATCATCTCTTACATTGTAGTTTTCTGTTCTTTGTTATTTTATTTCTGGGGGGTGGTTCTGAAATTGCTGGTAAAGCTAGGTGTATCTATGACTTCGATGTTGGATGGCAGAAGCTACGTGTAGCGACTTGAGATATGCATGAACTATATACAGTTAGCCAAATGGTTCACTCCTGGGTTCTCATGAGAAGGGTTATGTACACATTCTTGCTTTTGTTCAGAAATTTACTCACACATGTAAAGAACTTGACATATACATGTACAAACCTGTGATAGTTTCAGAAGTTCCTGCATCATGTGCAGAAATTTACTCCTATTAGTTGCCCTTCAAAAATTATGTTGATCTCATGAGATGGTGACTTGATGTAATGATATCAGGCATCATATTTTTATGTCATTAATGTTGTTTTCTTTACAGTTATTACCATACGGTGTCAGGAGCTTGCTGATAATGCACTGCTTGGCTGAGACCACGTGTTTTGCTGGTTTTGCAATTGATGGTTAAATTTTTTTTTGTTTTTTCACCATCACAATTCTCCGTGGCCCTTTCAACTGTCTTTATCAGGAGAGGCCACTTATTTGTTTTCCCTGACAGCCCTAGCTCAGAATTCACTGCAGCCTCTTTACTACTACTCTGTTATTCAATTCACTCTTGCTATTCCCAGCCATCTTCTATTGATTTTTCTTCTTAGGCTGCGGTTTCTCTTGAATTTTTTCAAAATTTCCCTTTCTTCCTTCATTTGAAGCTAATTTTCTTGTGCTTATATTAAATGTGTCATTGCTTCTGAATGGTCCTCAAAAGAATTTTAGGCAGTCAGACCTACGTAGGTATTCTGGGTTTCTAGTGCATGCTAATGAATTCAAACTCAAATGGATTCTCTGGTACAAGGTTGAAAAAGGTGGTTCTTCTGTTAAGTTTTGATTGGCTATGAAAAGTTGATGTGTTCTTGAGCACTTGAGTTCGCTATAAGAATTCAAACCCTGCTGAATTGATGGATATGAATCTGTCACTTTGGAATTGAAGATATGAGTGGAGTTGCTTCATTTTGCGTCAAATATTTAATTATGATTGAATTGTATGATAAATTAGGAATGAAATGAGAATAAAACAGATATAAACTAACACAATATAAGAGTGAAGAGCGCTTTGCTCGCAATTGGTTTGCTGGTCCATTCTCATCCTGGTGATTAGTTTCTTGGTTGGCTAGATGACACAAGTGTGGCATCAAAACCTTGTTGAGTTTTGCAACTTCAAATAAACTAGGAGGCTTTTTCTAAATCTCATTTAATTATCATGATGAAATCCAGCCTATAGAACATGGATGTTAAATAACTCAGTTTAACAGAAGTAGAACCCTCATGCTTTCCTGTTGGCTAGGTGGTTTTTGGGTGTTGGGTCATTTATCAATCAGTGTCTGCTCCTAATTTCATGAATTTTCTTGTTAGCATTGCATATGGACAGGCTTTTTTTGGCCTACTGTCAGCATAACTCTTTCCACATTAATGGGCCTGAGAAAGTGGCCCATTACTAAAAGGCTGGACTGAAACTTACAAGTTAGAACAGGATTGCTGCATACTATTTTCTCAATCCAAATTGACTGGCTCGTGTCTTGATCCAGTTAACCAGTTGGAGAGTCTAGGTGAACATTCTTGGCCAATTCATTTGCTTGCAATCACTAAACCTTTGCCTGGGAGAGGGCGAGGGGAGGGAATATGAGTAACTTGTTCCTTAAAAGGGAACATTGAGTTACGTCTATTTCATGCTTTCTCCCCAACTTAATAATTTATTGTAAGACCAAAATTCTCAATCTCTCTCCTCTTCTCCCCTCACTCTTCAACCGGAATACTGGGGGTTATTACTTAAATTAGGAATTTATTAATATCTCCTAGTATTATTTTTTAAGATTTTGAAACAAATTGCTACCTAATGATGATCGTACCAAATGATTCTTCAGGTAGTTACACCTGCAAATCATTTCTTGAATTTCCTACCTGTATTTACATCATGATAAATTTTGACTTTTAGTCCTTTTTAGGATGGAGAAAGGTCTCTCTAAAGTGAGGGTTTTCATGTGGCCAGCAGTCCTTAACAAGATCAACACTAATGATTTGCCTCAAAGTGTTATCTTGGGATTTTTTTTATGGCCTTTTACTATTGAGAAGATAACGGTTCTTCATTTTGGCATGGCTTAGAAGATCCATACTAGAATATTTTCTCCCTTTTGTGTTTCTTGGGTACTTCGGACTTGAGGGTCTTCGTCTTCATGTCTTTATATGTTTTTAGTTAGAGTAAGGATCAAAAGTTGCAAGAGGAGCTATATTTGCTGGGTTATGGATCCTTTGGTTGGAGAGAACTGTACATAATTTTTAAACAAAGGTCTCAAAGTTTGATTTTGGAAGAGGATGATGTTTCACCTTATCTTTGTGCTAAGGCCCATGGTTTCTTTATTTGGGTTTTTCTTTATCTACTTTAGAAAGGAATTGGGCTGTTGTCATGAATGATTAGTGCACTTACTTATGTATCTAGTGTATGTTTCTTTTTCTTTTGGGGGATTGCTTTTCCTCCCTTAGTTTGTACATTCTTTTCCTTCCTTTAATGATGTTCTTCTAAAAGAAAATCGTTACGTAAAAATGAAACGATTATGTTAATTCATCAAATTCCCAAGTTAGGATTCAATTCAGTGCTTGTTTGGCTTATTTTCTACATTTACTTTTGCTGCAAAGTTAGAAGTCTGACCAACTGCTAAAATACACAATGGTTTCTAAGTAAAGTTAGAATCTGTTTTTGACTTTTGATATATGTGAAATCAAAAGTAGAAACAGATGCTTTCAAGAACTAGCTTGTGCTTTAGAAGTTGAATAATACTTTTAACGAATATATTTATTAACTTTATGTCTCATAATTTGTTAATTTGATATTTTTAAAACAATATGATTTTTTTTTAAAAAAAATAAAGGATAGTATATTCAGAAGCACTGAAGAGGTGCGAACCCATATACCAAAATATTTATAGATCTAACAAGATGTCAACTAAAACCCCCAAATTCTCATTACAATATAACGGATAATCCCTTGACAAAAAACTGAGGGTCTTGAATCAAAAACCCTAAGCATATCAAAACTAAATTCAGTCCCATTAAAAATCCTTCTATTCATCTCTTTCCAAACAGCTTAAAAAGTAGCTAAAAGGATAAGACTTAGTTTGGATACCTTTAACATCCAATCAAAATCACATTCAGTCAATGTTACATTAATGCCAAGTCATGCATGTCTTTGGTTCTCACTTCCATATTATATCATTTTTTATTAGTTTCTGTTCTAGTTTCCAACACATTCAGCATCATTTTCTGATTTTTTATCTTTCATAACGAAAATAGGTTGCTGGTGGACTTTAAGATCAATGGTTGTTTTCAATAGGATAGTCACAACCATCAGACCATTGAGGTATGATCAGGTAGACCTCAATCTCTTTACTGCTTGTATTCAATTACTCTTAAGCAGTGAGATGTGGTTTATAAGAGTTTTGCACTGCAGTATATGCTATGTTCTGAATTTTGAACATTTGTTTTGGTTCCAAGAGTTCGGGGGAGCAGTATTTACAGCCCCGTATAAGTGAAAAATTGTGATAATTTAACTTCACATTAGAAATGTATGTAAATGTTGGCTCTTTATATAATACCTCACGTCATTTTGAGTTTAGTTAGGTTTGCAAGATTTAGTATTCGGATTTGAAGTTGACTGGTGGTGCTTGGCATAAGGTTAGAAGAGCTCTTATTTGGGTTGGTTAGTCGGTCACTTTTTTCAGCCCTCACAGTTTCACAACTTCAAGCATACTGGAAGATCTCAGTTATGTATAGAACAAATTTAGAACTGTTATGGAGTTCACCAGGTGAACTTTGGATCATTCTCAATTAAGGTATGCTCTAAATCTAATGAATGGATCTGTTCTCACACTCCTTGTAAAATTATTGAGCCTAGAAAATTTGGTCATTACTAAGATTTCTAGATGTGAACTGTGAGGTTTTGGATTCAAATTGCATAAATCCAGATGAAGCAAGTAATTCCGGCTTCAAGTGTCAGATATTAAAGTTGTCCTTCCTTACTACTAAACAGAAATCTTCTCCAATGGGGTCGTAATTTTGAGCTACCATCCTGACCCCTGACCCCCCTGACCCCTTGCCTCTCCAATTATTTCACTCGCTCACTTGATCTTGCACTTGATAATTACATATCCAGCAGTTCTAATTACGTTCCTGTCTCTATATTTTGACTATAATCTGCTGATGTCTTGAAAGCGAAATCAGAAATGATTCAGTTTGAAAGTTGTTATCTATGACTGAGCTAACAATATTATAGTATTTCCTATTGTCATCTATGAGCTGACAGTTATATTATATACATAGCATATACTAATCACTATCCTTTGAAAGATACTATAGTGCATATATATTAAAAACCAATTCAGGAAGAACTTGATTACTGCCCCCCTGCAGGGAATTTACCGATTGATACTAGTCTATTCCTGCTGCTGTATTGCTTATTGCTCAAGTTATCTTTATTCTTTATATGCTTTCTTCAAGTTATCCAATTTCGATCTCTGTCTAACAAATGACTTTCTGGGTTTTATAAAGTAAGAGACTATTAGAGATTTCCAAGTCAAGCTGCTGCACATGGGATTAGAAAATCTGGAGCTGTGACATAGTTTCTTAGGCGCAGAAAACCTGAGGGAATCACTGGTTTCCACGTTATTAGAATGTTATTGCGGTTGCAATATGTTTCTTAGTCAAAATACAATTGCATATTCTTCTTTTATTCATTCTTTATTATCATTATTATTTCTTTGAGGAGGCATAGTCTTTCTCTATCTGTTTTCTGTGAAGAAAAATAAAAAAAAAAAAGGCAGGATTAGTAGTCTATAAATTTGGGGAATGGCTGCAAAACTCATATGGGTTCTTACATCTTAGGAGGTATTATGTTTTAATTAACTGGTAATGATTAATACAAGCTGCAGATCAAATTGGTTGATGAGTGACCAACAGGGTTTTGACTGGATATTTGTTTTGTATTTTTTTTTTTTTTATAAGAAATTGTAAATAGAAGTTGTACTGTACGTTTATATAATAATTGTGTATCTACTTATTAATTGATATAATATATGTATATATAAAGGGTTGACTGTGGTGCAGTATAAAGAAGGGAAGATGGAAGTTGCATGGAAGGGCTCCTTTCCACCTACTCAAAGCACGCAACTCAAACATTGGACAATTGAAAAGTGAAGGTACAAGGAAGCTTCCTCTTTCCCTTGTCATAAATTTGTTGTTATCCCCACTCCATTCATGCCATGCCTCCACAAGTCTTGCTTATAATAAAGAATTGGGAAGTGTGTTGATTTATAATTACAAAAATCTCTCTAGGATTTTATTATAATTTAAAATTTTCTGTAATTTTACCCATATATGTACAATAAGACCAGTCCAAACAAGTTATTTCCTTCTTATTTTATTTAGTTTAAGAGCTAAGCTTACAATTTCAAAACCAAAATACTAGATCTATCTATTATTAATATTTAATGAAGTACCCATTTTGAGTTTTCATTACGAACAACTACCCTAAGAAAATTAGGTATCAATTGCATTAATACTTCATGTTCAAGTTAGAAAATGTTCATTTCATTTATTTCTTCTAATTCCGGGTGGACGAGAAATAGTGTTTTGAACCGAAGAAGAAGGCGATAGATTGATGAAAAATTCTACGATAAATGTGAGACAGTTTCATGCTTTGGAAAATAATATAATATAAAAATTAATTGAAAAATCAAAGTACTATGTCCTCTAAGCATGATATGATTAACTGAAAATTTGTTAGACTTAATTTTCTCCAAAGAAAAAATGAAAAATAAAAAATTCAATAGATAAGTATACTTTCAATAGTATGTAAGTATATTTTTTAAAAATAAAAATATGTACAATCGCCTAACTCTTCTATAATTCTAGTATTTAGTATCTAAATGTATCTGGACGTACCAACAATGACCAAATTTAATTGTAAATTTTACATAATATATTATATGTAGTCCTATTATGTCACTCGTTACATGTTATGTTGCTATTCTTTGTCATGACCCATTTGGTTTAAAGTGGGGTTTGATCTACCCACGTTCTCAATGCACAATTTTGGATTCAATATTCAAACCTATATATATATATATGTGTCTGGTAGTGGATTGAAAATTTCAAGTGAAGCTAAAGTTCTAAGGGTAAAACAAATCAATATATATACACACAAACACACACACACATATGAAACACGTCAAAAGATGTACAAAATAAAAGTACAAGTGAAATTTTGATTTATTAGAGTATTAAACTTAAACTTTATTTTAAGCCATTATAAATTTATAATTACTGTTGTGACTAACCCTTTAATGACACTTGTATAGTAAATTACTAAAAAATTAGTAAACGTATACATTCTCTTAAAAAGTAAGCATTGAAATTTCAAAAGATGACAAGAAAAATTCCCACCAAATTTAAATAATAAAGTGGAAAACTCAAAATAAATTTACAACTCTAAGTTCTCTAACTTGTGTTTTAAAGAAGTATCATGGTAATGTTACTATTCCCAATTCGAGAGAGAGAGAGAGAGAAAAGTATTTAAAATCGAGTTCTAATATTTACCGTTTTTTCTCTCCATGCCCGTATATTCTCTTTAGTATATAAAACGAGCTAATGCTCGAACATTCAAGTTATCACTACGATAATACTAAATGCTACGATGGAATATTCTTGTTTCATCTCGAGTCTAATATTTATCACATATTTTACAAATGAGCGGAGGAACTTCTTCAAAGAATCACTTTCAAACTATCACATATTTCAATAATCAAAGTCCTTATTCTTGTTCTTATTATCAAACATATAAGTTTTGATTTATTTCATGAAAAAAAAAAAAAACAATTGTTGAGTGGTTAAAAAGAGTTTTGAGCACGTTACCTGTCGGTGCGAGGATCCGCTGTCACCGTATTTATTTGTTGTGTTATTTTCCAGAGCCCCACGGTACGGCAAGAATCAGCAAGGGCGGCGCGTCGGTCGTCTGAAACAAAAACAAGTTACGTGTCAAATTAAGCGGCCGCATGCGTGGGACATTTCCGGAACTCGAACTTTCACCTCCATTCACGTCAATATTTCCGCACACTCGTTTGTACTTTTTTTTAAAAAAAAACAAATATTCTTTATAAAATAATTAGTTAATTTATTTTAAAAAATCAATTTATTTATTTATTTATTTATTTATTTAAATTGATTTAAATGGGTCTTGTCAACTTTACTTAATAAAAATAAAGAGCAGAATATGCGAATACAAGTAGAATAAGTAAGAAGGGGAGTAATCTAAATGTATGAACACAATCGATGTGGGATCTTTAACACTTGTTTATTTTCAATGTAATCAGCTAATATGTATTGAAATTATAAAGCAAAAGAGAAATATCAAAACAAAGTCATCATATAAGTTCTGTTTAACAGAATCAATGATTTATTTTATTAATATATTAATAAAACTTTTTATGATCAAACTGAACTAAATTTTAAACTTAATCTAATCAATAAGAAAATATATTTTTTTATGATGATAATATAAATTCGAATTATACAAATAATATTGAGAATAAACCCATTTGAGAAGTGTATTTAATGATTAACTATGAATAAGAGATTCTCCAAAAAAGAAATTATAAAAAAAAAAAAAAGTCAACTTAAACTCCCATCTTGTAGGATAAACAGAATAAAATAAGAGGAATATGGAAATGGGACAATTACAGGGCAAGACTCCTTAGCCAACTTCAAGAACCAAGAACTAATGATGATAAGAATTGACAACCCCAAATCTGATCGTATCATCATGTTTTGCTTCGTTCCGATGGTATCTTGTTGGACATAATTCAAAAGATTTGTGCAGGTTGAATTTAATAATGAAAGCAAAGATGAAGTAATCTGGATTCTTTCGTTAGTTTATGGGGAATCAGTGTGCAAACCGTGTACCGTGAGAGTTTTATGTTTTAACAGTGTCATGATTGATTTTAAAGCCTTGCTTGTTTGAGCTGTGAAAGTTGTAATGGATTAGAATAGTGAAACTTGGTGAGGATGGATTTGACCAAGTGGCAACTAGAGAAGAAAACAATAAAGAAGTTGGGTAGAAAATTCGGTCTGGATTACTATAAATAAACAGAGGTTATGGTTTATGCATAAAGAAAGTTCAAAACCAGCTCCAGGCTTTTCCTGAGTGTATGTGTAGAGAATTCGGCTAATCCATCTTCTTATACCAAACATGTCTGAGATTGAATCTAAACATTATGACTGTGGCACATTGCTACTTGGCCTCACCACCTCGAGCCTCAGCAGGGCACAGAGGCGGTGGCGAATGGCCTATGCAGCAATCTATTCTATCAGGGTAATGATTTCTCTTGGCAAAGAGATTGTGTCCAGAAAAATTACCCAAGATTCCCCCATCTTGTGCGTTAATTCCTATACACTTCTGGATGTTGAACCACCTTCTTCATACCCTGGCGGCAGTAAAGAATCTGCATCGTCTTTCTCATTTGTCACCAGCATTGATAAGATGAAGCTCACAGAGTTGGTCAAAGAGAAAGACTTAGCTTCTTTCCGGCAACTTGGAGGAGTTGAAGGCATAGCCGTGGCTCTTCAGACAAATCCAGACAATGGAATCCGCGGCAATGATAGTGAAATTACCAGGCGGCATGAGCTGTTTGGTTCCAACACCTACCATAAGCCACCTCCAAAAGGCCTGTTGTTCTTTGTATTGGAAGCTTTTAAAGACACCACCATTTTGATCCTACTTGTTTGTGCCGCCCTCTCTCTTGGGTTTGGCATCAAAGAACATGGAGCAAAAGAAGGATGGTATGAAGGTGGGAGTATCTTTGTAGCTGTTTTCCTCGTGGTCGTTGTCTCTGCATTTAGCAACTTCAGGCAGGAGACTCAGTTCGACA